GTCGTCGGCGTCGTGGGGGTGGCCCTTGTCCACATCCATGGCCTTGGTCAAAGACTGCTGCTGCAGGGATCTGGTGATGTCCTTGACGGGGTGGTGTGCGGCAGGCGATGCCGTTGACGCAGCGGATGGCTGTGATGAGGACACGTGCTGCTGCTGCTGCTGCTGCTGTTGTTGTTGTTGTTGTTGTTGTTGTTGTTGTTGTTGTTGTTGTTGTTGTTGTTGTTGTTGTTGTTGTTGTTGTTGTTGTTGTTGTTGTTGCTGTTGTTGTTGTTGTTGGTGTTGCTGTTGTTGTTGTTGTTGTTGTTGGTTCATCTTTCTATTCTGTGCTTCTAGCTGTTGCTGTATTGCCGTCTGCTGCTTCAGCTGCTGCTCGTACTCTACTTTGTTGATGTCAGGAAGAAGCCTCGCCCGCACTAATTCCGAGTCACGCGCCAAATCGCGCGACGCGTATGTGTTCAGCATCTCATCGAATGCCCTTTGTGACGCAGCTCGTAACTCGGGGTTGGTCGCCACCGCTGGCGGTGGGCATTCATATCCATGCTTCTTCTTCATCTTCATGTCGCATGCAAACGCATCCAGCCACTCGGGGTTTTGCTTCGCACCGACGTCTCTGCGCTCCTTGCTGCTGCCCTCAATGTTGGAGTTGTTGTTGCTGCTGCCACAACCATCACCACCAACATCATCATCGTCACCGTCGTCATCACAATCGCCACCATCATGAAGGTTCCCACCGCCATCAGCAGCATCGTCATCGCCATCACCATCACTGACAACGTGGTCGTGGTGGTACGCGCTGGCACCGAGCAGGTCCAACATGCCTTTGTTCAAGAACCCGTGGTGGTCTGTCACGTGCACGAGGAAGTGGATGCCGAGGCAATGTGATGGGATGGAGCCTGGAATGCACGGCTCGCGCGTGCAGATGAGACGAAAGGGGCGCTCGGGGCGTTCACGCTGGTGTAGAAAAACGTATATGTGTGAATGTGCATGGGTGTGAGCGTGCGTGGGGGGGGGGTGAGTGTGCGTGGGAGGGTGAACGTGCATGGGAGCGTACATGTACGGAAGCGAAGTGACACGGTTGTTTGATGAACACCATCAACAACCACATCAACCACAACAACCACAACAACGCGCGCATGAGAAACAAACAGACACACAAAGCCACACCCACACACAAGTACGGCATCACGTGCAATCACATAGATGAGTGTACCACGCACCAAAAGCGCCTGTGTAATCATGTCCATTCCGGCATCAACATGGGATGTGTTGACAGCCATGCTGTAGCGGTGCTCGCCGTGTTCGCTGGGCTCATCCGCATAGACGACCAGCACAGCTTCGAAGGTCACGGTGCCCATATCACATGACCCCGAAGCGAGCACCTGCCAAAGTGCCAATGTCGAAGAAACACAATTGACGTGCATGATGAGGCGACACTCGGGGTGAGGAGGGACTTGTTCATGGGCACGAGAGCAACAGCACGAAACATGACCATGCGTGACCACAGAGAACGGGAGTGTGCGTGTGTGTATGTGTGTGTGTGTATGTGTGCGTGTGTGTACACACACACACACATACATACATGTACACACATCCACACAAACACACGCACAGACAGAGCACATGCGAGACGCACTTGGTACTGAGCATGGAGGAGGAGAAGGAGCTCGTGGTACATGGAGATGAGCTGCCCTCGCGATGGCGTGTCCGCGTACAGAGGTGCTCGCTCACAACCAGCAGTCTGCGCGCAAGCACATTTTGTATGCGTGTTTGTCAGTACACATGTGCTAGTATCCACGAGATGGGAAGGTGGCACGGCCGCTGCGTGGGCAGGCAGACACAAGGCACGCACGACTACGTGCTCACAAGTGCATGCACCATAAACGACATCCACGTTGTACGCACCACACGATACTTGACAACCCGGAGGATGGCGACGGCAAACGGCAACAACGTCCCTACAGGTCGCAGTGGTTTGGGTCGGCACAGTGAAACAGTGAGCGGTCAGTGCTGCTTTTGCCTGCATGCACGCTCCGAACATCTCCAGCATCTACGCAAAAAATTGTTCTGCCCATGGGCGATGCGCAACACGGGTGTGCGTTGTTTTTTGTACCAGAACACAACCATGCACGCATGCTCGTGCACATGTCGTCATTGTACCTGTGTGCTTGAGCACAGGGGCGAGGACAGATCGTCGAAATGCTTTGGCATAAGGGACATTGCTGATGCGGTATACACCAGGGTCGTTAGGGTCCTGAACCAGAAGTTGCTATCGATCGGAAAGCGGGCAGGGGGGTTGGTGAAAGGGTTGGGTACGTTCAGTGCAGGGGTGAGCACCGTAGTTGTGAAGGCAAGGTGAAGGGTGCTTCCACACACACACACACACACACACACACACACACACACACACACACACACACACACACACACACACACACACACACACACACACACACACACACACACACACACACACACACACACACACACACACACACACACA